GCGCCCGAGGGCTGTTTCATTTGTACAGCATTCACTTAGGTTATTTAGTTCTAGGATATTAAGTCAATAAAATATTTCCTAGTAGACTCTAAAAGGGTATCTCTCAATTGTAAACTTTATTTTCAGTGGCCTTCAGTTCATTTATTGAGATTCCTTAGAATTAAATTATCTACCATAGGGTCCCAAAGCTCCACAGCATTTTTTCAAGTCACAATTATTTATGTCTGGGTTTATGAATTCCTGAGGGCAGGGGACATTGTTGGAGGTCTCATCTTTGCTTTAAAGTGCCCACAGCGTGGGAGCTGCCCTTTGAAGGCTGGAGCTCTTCACCTAGCCAGCTCTTCGCCAGAGCTCAGGACAGGAAGGAGGGAGACAAATACAGTGCAAGTGAGAGAAGCCGCTGAGCGTGGGCATCAGGTGAAGACAGCTGCGGCTCTCTGGTCATCCATGCATGTAAATTACTCCTATAAACAGTTGTATTGTATAACCAGGGCAAAGTGTTCTCCATGAAATCTGTTCGGTATGAATCTACAGATTGTGAATAGATGGCGAAGGTGGAACCAACAGAAGGCCAGAGCTGGTGGATGGGGACACAGAGAGAAATGGGCATAAAATAGGGCAGTGGTTTACAGCCCTACACAATCAAAGACAGAATGTGGAGACAAATTTGGATATTGTCTTTGTACATAGTAATAGAATGCATTTTTAAACATTCAGTGCAAACAAAGCATGTTGTTGATACTTTTAAAGTATCTTCATTTTACCCTGTTTTTGATGATCAAGAAAGTTAACTGGAAGTTGCTCCTTTACCAGGAAATCGCTAACAACATTTCAAGCCCAGTTGTAAGAAGCTGGAATCTCTCCTCCTTTTAAGATCAGGACAAACAAAGATCATCTTTCTTTTTTTTTTTTTTTTAAGATTTTATTTATTAATTTTTCAGAGAGAGACACAGTGAGAGAGGGAACACAAGCAGGGGGAGTGGGAGAGGGAGAAGCAGGCTTCCCGCCAAGCAGGGAGCCCGATGCAGGGCTCGATCCCAGGACTCTGGGATCATGACCTGAGCTGAAAGCAGACGCTTAACGACTGAGCCACCCAGACGCCCCAAAGATCATCTTTCTAATTTTAGGGGGCAAAAGTGGAAGTGGGATAACCAGAGGTAGAGTGAAGGGTGGTATTGATACCAATTAACAAAATTAGATACGGGAAGGGGAGTTATGACTACATTTGCAAAGAACTCTTGCTCAATTTTTCCTTAAACATCATGCCATCAGTTTTTAAAGCTTTAGTGTGCACATGAGCCACCCAGGGATGGTGTTGAAATGTAGACTCCCAGGACCAGCCCCCAGAGAACTGGATTCAACAGGTCTGTGTCAGAAACCTGAATTCTGTATTTAAACACCTACCCCAAGTCAACCATGATTCAAGTGAACCTTGGAAACAGCATGTCTGAGAAAGGACACATCAGCAATGATGAGTTTTTTCCTCTAAAAATGAACAGAGTAAGAGGGGCATGAATAGGAAATAGCAATGGTGAAGATGATCTGGGCATCACTCTCTACCTCTGGCTTCCCACTGGTCCTCTCCTATCTTAGGACTTCTCCATCTACTTTGCCCAAATCGCAAAATCGGGATTGTTTTGATTTTCGTATTTTTTAAGGTTTTTATTTTTAATTTCATTGTAGTTACATACAGATTTTCATATATTTTTTGAAGTGGTAAAATCTTTTTTCTAAACATGTCCTGTTTTCTATCTCCAGAGGATATCAAAAACTTCATTAAGAAGCTTGATAAACTGGGGCGCCTGGGTGGCTCAGATAGTTAATCGTCCGCCTTTGGCTCAGGTCATGATCCCAGGGTCTTGGGATCCAGCCCCTCATCAGGCTCCCTGCCTGCTCAGTGGGGAGCCTGCTTCTCCCTCTCCTTCTACTGCTCCCTCCGCTGTGCTCTCTTGTTCTCTCTGTCAAATAAATAAATAAAATCTTTTTTTAAAAAAAAGCTTGATAAACTATGGGAAAATGAATGGCTGAAGGGTGCAGACAGGTGGGTAGGATGAACAAAATCAGCAATCATCAGATTACTAATATGCAAATCAAATATGTAAAGCAGCAAGCTGAGTAAATACCTTTCATTACCATCATCAACTTCAAAGAAAGGCAAATTCCATTCACTCTCTGCCTTCTCTGTTGATCATTATGTAGACCCCGGACATTGCTTTGATAAAACAAACAAACAAAAAACTAAACACTTGCTCAGTTTTAAAAATTATTCATAGATCATAGAGGCCATCTAAGAGGATATTACTTAGTCCTGGCTACTACTCAGTAAATTGGTTGCTCAGGATAACTCAGCTAGTCAGTGGCAGGTGGCTCTAGAGTCAGTTTTTTCTGACTTGATAGTCATGACCACACTTGTAGGTCATGAAATCTATGTCCTGGGTCTTAACTATCATTTTTAGAAAAATGAAAGATTAAATAGAAAATACCAGAGGGACTAAAGTTGGGATAACACTTGTATTCCACTATGTGGCCTTAAAAAGAGATTTGAGGGGCGCCTGGGTGGCTCAGTCGGTTAAGCGTCTGCCTTTGGCTCAGATCATGATCCCAGGGGTCCTGGACCAAGCCCCACACAGCAGGCTCCCTCTCCCTCTGCCTCTCCCCCTGGCTCATGCTCTCTCCCTCTCTCTCAAATAAATAAAATCTTAAAAGAGAGAGAGATTTGAAAGAGGGAGCATCTCAGCTGAATCCAAGTCTATTACAACTTTATTGAGGCTAAAGAGAATTTCATGCTCTCTACCAGATTTTTAAGGCAGTATCATCCTCAGTATTTTTACAAGTAAAAAAAAAAATATGTGATATTCTGAGAATGTGAAAATTTTTACTTGGGAAGCAAATGCCATCACCAAGCCAATGGACATCTCAATATTCATTTGCGTTATGCAGTATTTTGAATTGCAGCTGAAATGAATAAGGAAAGTCAAACGATGAAGACTTCAGTTTGTCAATTTAAATTAGAAAGAGAAGGAGGAGGAGAAGAAGGAAGGAGAAGGAGAAGGAGGGAGAAAGAGAAGAAGGAAGGAGAAAGAGAGGGAAGCACCTAGAAGTCCAACAGTGGGGAATGCTTGAGTAAATTATGCCATCACCTTCTGTGTGACTCACATGGTTTCTGCCTGGGTCATCTATTGATCTGGAGTTATCACTGGCAGGGTTTTCTTAATCTTCACCTGGAATGTGCTAACCTAATCTGGATCCCAAAGATGGCAAGATAGCAGGGGTCCAGAGCATTCTTAAAAGGTGTAAGTGGTGATAGGAAGTTCTTTTAATGACAAAGCAATTGAAGTTTCATTATGTCGAGGAACTTTGAGGAAGTCCTCAAAATCCACGTATTAAAAATAATTTCCTATTATAGACACACCTACTTTCTAGAATAAAAACCAAAGCCATGTGGACCTGTCATCATATTTTATATATATTGTAGAATTATATCAAGTTATGTCAAGATGTTCCCTCATCTTGTAAAAAGGTTTTTATCAGAGGGGGGCACCTGATGGCAGAATTTAAGGTGTCTGGATCCTGAAGATAAAACTGTCTGTCTGAAATCCTTATGGTAATTTACTTTACACGTCTGAAGTTGGTTTGTTTTAAACCTTTGTTTTTAAAAATATGAGATGTTGGGAGCACCTGTGTGGCTCAGTCAGTTAAGCGTCTGCCTTCGGCTCAGGTCATGATCTCAGGGTCCTGGGATCGAGCCCCGCATCGGGCTTCCTGCTCGGCGGGAAGCCTGCTTCTCCCTCTCCCTCTGCCTGCTGCTCCCCCTGCTTGTGCTCTCTCTCTATCAAGTAAATAAATAAATCTTAAAAATAGGAGATGTTTCCTTTAATCCTTGAAGCTTTTCTTTTTAAAAGTTGATTTACAAGAAACCGGAACGGTAAGTTTCACTTTCGGTTTCGTTATTTTTTTTCCAAGAGCGCAGAATCCGCTAATTCCCCCACTAAAAAGCTGGGCGACGAGGAGGAAAGCAACTAACCCCACCAGCGGGGCTGACCGGGGCGGGGCGCGTGGTGGGCAGTGGGCGGGGCGGGCAGTGGGCCGGGACATCGGCCCCTCCCCCCGCCGGCTCATTAGCGTGTCCCGGGGCAGCTGCCCTGGCTGCCGGGACACAGCGCGCCGAGCGTCCGCACCCTCCGCCAGTCCCCCCGCCAGCAGGTAGGGAGCGTCCGTCCCTCGAGCGGTGCCTCTGGCCACCTCGGTTGGCACTTTAAAAAGCAGCTGGTCTGAAGACCTTTTCTTTGGGATGGAGAGAAGAGAAGGGCCAGGGAAAGCGCGATGGTTTCACGCGGCGGTGGAGCCCGTACCTGCTGGGGCTAATATGAACAGCTAAGACGTTTGACCTTTCTTGGGGGGCGGGGGGATTCGGTTTTGCTTAGTATCAGTTTTGTCAGTATATGTTTCTGCGCGTTCATGAATATGGTGCTGAGGTATGTAGCTGGGTCTAGAGGGAAATTCCTAGGCTGGAGGTCGAACACCTGGGTCCTAGTCCACCCTTAGCTGCTCCCTAGCAGTATGCTCTGAGTAAATCATCACACCTGCAGCAGCTCCTAAGGCGCCCTCCTACTGTAAGTAAGAGCCAGGATACCCCAACCCTATATGTATGATAAGCCAAACATGTATTATAATTGTTTTTTCAAAGATTCATAGGGGGAAGGACCAGAAGAAAAATGTATACTGGAATGCTCACAGTGGTTGCAAGGTTTCTCGGCCTTGGCACTGTTGACCCCTAGGCCTAGATAAATCTCTGCTGCGGTGGCTGTCCTACGCATTGTGGGACGGTTAGCAGCAACATGGCCTTTACCCACTAGAAAGTAGAAATCCTCGCTCCCACCCCACTGCATTTTGAGAACCAAAACTATTTCTAGGCGTTAGCAAATGTTTCCTGGGTTAAAGTAATGGAATAGTGGGTGATTTTCCCCTTCTTTTCTCATTTTCTATATTGTGTTTCTATTATTTAAATAATGAAGAAAGACATAAAAATAAACAAATATCATTCTACCTCAACTCTGATGTGTGAGTTTCTAGGGTTCTTTCCATTCTACCACTCTGTCTCCCAAACGTTCTGCAGCTTAGAAGGTGAAATGGTTCACTAAATTTGTTTTTTTATTTTTTTTCTACTAAGAGGAAAACGTATCTATTTATTTGAAAATGTGGACACAGAAAAACAACAAAGAAATCATTAACAATCTCCTTTCCCTTTTTTTCTTTTTCTCCCATCCTTTCTTCCTTTTAAAAATTATTTTAAAAATGGGGCATCTGGGTGGCTCTGTCAGTTTAGCATCAGACTCTTGGTTTAGGCTCAGGTCACGATCTCAGGGTCGTGGGGTCGAGCTTCTTTTGGGGCTCCTCGCTCAGCATGGAGGCTGCTTGGGATCTTCTCTCCATCTCCCTCTGCCTCTCTCCCTGCTCTCTCTCTCATAAATAAATAAATCTTTAAAAAAGTATAAAAAAGTGAAAACCTGCCTATCATCCCTCTGATTTCACTCCTGGAGATAATCACTATCAGCATGTTGGTATGGATTTTTCTGGACATTTCCTATGTCTAAACACACAGATGTTTCTTCCTTTGTTTTTAAACTAAAGTAGATTTCTACATGTACAACTCTGCAACTTTCTACATCTTTGCAAAATCAATACAATTCTGTCCTTAGTGGTATTACATTGTAGGACTATAACAACATTTATTTAACTAGTTAGGCTATCTGGAATATTCCCAGTTTGTGGCTAGAATTATCAATGTCATCACTTCACATGTATTGTTTATATATATGTTTTTGTTTTTGTAAGATACATTTCTAGGAGAGGAAGTGAAAGCTCATATATCATATACATTTAAAATTTTAATGGAGATTATCAAATTGCCTTCCAAAAAAGGCTATGTAACTTCACATTCCTACCATTCCTACCTACCCCCCAGTGAGAAAACCCATTTGTTCATATCTTTACAAACACTAAATATTAGGAATCTTTATAATTTTGGTTAAGCTAATAAGTGAAAAATAGTACCTAATGTTTTAAACTTACACTTTTTAAAAAATTGAGCATCCTTTCCGATGTGTAGATGTCGTTTGTATTTCTTATTCTCTGAACTGTATGCTAGAACCTTTTGCTCATTTTCTGTTGGGTTGTGTGTGGTGTTCTTATTGATTTTTTAGGAGCTATTTATATATTAGGAACATAAATCTTCTGTCTTATATGTGTAGCATAGATTAATTGATCATTGGTGAGTTTTTATATGTATACAAGAGGTCAAAGAGACCTTAAGAGGGAAAACTGACTTCTTGAAGTGTGTAAATATATGTATAACACAAGAGGGAAATGTGTTAATAAAGAAACAAACTGAGGGTTCTCGGGGGGGTGGGAGGATGGGTTAGCTTGGTGATGGGTATCAAAGAGGGCACGTACTGCATGGAGCACTGGGTGTTATACGCAAACAATGAATCATGGAACACTACATCAAAAACTAATGATGTAATGTATGGTGA